CAAGATGTTATCTAATATTACCGTCACAGATCATGACAAATAGTTCTTATCTAAAGTTTATGATAATGATATTAATTAGAGAATGATCAAATGTTACAAAAACGTAAAACATGAATTTTTACTATCAGATCATATGGAGAGAAAGGTATTTTGTTTTAAATTTTATATTAGAATTTTCAGTGCGTCTCCCACTACTTGACATACATAAATTAAAATTATATAATGATTAATGCAAATATGCGTAGGAAAATGTCGTTTCCTTTTTCTTACATAAGCTAACACATGTTCTGGACAAATCAAAAATATCTATTTTCAGAATCTATTGTAAAATTGCTTTCTAATTGTAAAAAGAAAGTTCTGTCATAACAAATACATCTTCAACTGTACTAAAATATAATAATCTGTAACAAGTAATGTACACTATGTCTACAGTCAAAAGAATCGATCTTGAAAACGAAATGTTGTCTTATTTTCTATACGGTTCGTCGAGTTTAATGAAGAAAAGAGCAACAACATACAATAGTGCGCGTAGGAAAAATGTTAAAACATACAACAATATCGATTATTCTTTACATATGACATTTAACTATATATGTAAATATGTACTCATTAATTTCTCAGAAATAAGGTATGTCGGAACTTTTTTCTTGAAGGCGTATAGTTAAAAAAAACATATTCAACATAGATTTCTCATAGATATTTTTCTAAGAACTTTTACATAGATCATTAATTAATATTTATTTTAATTAGATGATAATACTCAAAAATCGGACAAAATAACAGAACAATTTCTCCGATTACAAAAGAAAGATCGTCGAAGGTAATTATCAATGTTTCTACATTGTTTACTATTTTGGTTAGAATGTAACACTTGAGTATTATGTTAATTATAGAATAATATTCATTGTTTCATCGTCATTTTTTGTATATAGGTGTCAGATCGAAATTGTTTTGATTTAGTTAGTCGGTCGCTTGTGACCTAATCTTTCTTTGTTCTCTTGACTCTTACGATTGTTTCATTTTTTTCTGAATATATAAAATCAATGAATGAATTCCCATTCTACACACATTCGTGACGACGTGACCTATGAATGATTGTCGGAGAATTCTTTTGTTTATGAGACTTTGCGCAACAATCTGTACTAGCCGTTTTAAATAAGAAAAAATATAATTTGACAAATACATGTTGGTACTAAAACTCAAATAGATCTGTCGATAAATCTATGATGTTTTTGAATATTTATTCGTTGAATTTTTTGTGTAATTGATAAATCGTTGTTGAGTCAAGACTATGTACAATTATGTGGAGCATCAAATGACCTACAAATAACCTGAAAAGTGTTTTTGGCCTTAGCTTTTTGCTGCAAAGATACTAAATTTTTATGATATTTTTTAATGACTGTCGTGATATCCTACTGAGATGTCTAGATATTTGGCAAGCTCGATACGAGATGATCAATATCAATAAAATTAATAAATATTCTCTTGATAATTTGTATCATAGATAGAACTAAATAAATATAATGTCAAGATGTATATTGTATAACTATAAGAGTTAGACCAAACAATTCACTGTTTCTTTCTAGCATCAATATAAGAAAATTAACTACATTAGATCCTGTTATGATGTTACACGTTCGCCCCTTAAAAACACTAGAAAAACTGCTTTTCGAATATCGACTTGAAACTTTGTCTAGAGATAGACCTTAACAAGAATATTTTTTTTTGTGAATGTTTCAGAGCTCGACGCTGTTCGTATCCTAAGATAAAACGATAAACCTGAAACTGTTTTTGTTAAGATTTGTCTCTATGCAAAGTTTCAAGTCGAAATTCGAAAAACAGTTTTTCTAGTAATCCTAGAAGGAATGTCATCATCTATGTTGTCATCTGACGATATCTTTTCTTTTTTCTATGTTTTTCTCGCTATGTTCTCTTATCTAATTCCATAAGTTTTACTTTATTAACACTAGAGAGAAATATATAGTGAATTGTAGTTGTATGCCTGTGAGTCTCTAGGTGATGGACTCATATTTTAGTCTGTCTGTTAGAGTTATACAACATACATCTTGACATTATATCTATTTACTTCTTTTTATATTGTAAATTATCGAGAGAATATCTATTAATTTTATTGATACTGATTATCTCATATCGAACTTGTCAAATATCTAGGCATCTCACGAGGTTACTATGGCAGTTATTTAAAAACTACGTGAAAGTGTAACCTCTTGCCAGCAGGAAACTAATCAATTTAAATACCTTCCTTGAAAACATTCTTATTATCCCATTTGTTTTTATTTAGAAAAGCTTATCTTTCATAAATATTAGTAAGCTAAAGCTTGCTCTGAAAGACTTTTCTTTTGATGATATTTTGAATAGAAAAACAAGAATTCTTTTTTTTTATTTCTTCTTCTTCTTCTTCTTTGAAATAGATTTACTAAAGCTGATGAAGATGGTAATGGAAGTTTAAATAAAAATGAATTTGCTGATTTTATTCATCCAGAACAAAGTCTTCGTATGAAAGATCTTGTTATAACAGAAACAATTGAAGATATAGATAAAAATAAAGATGGATTTATATCACTTGAAGAATTTCTTAATGATATGTGGGATAGTACTGAAAATACTAATACAACTGAACCTGATTGGGTACAAATAGAACGAGAAAATTTTCTTAATTATCGTGATCTTGATCATGATGGAAAATTAAATCGAAAAGAAGTTGAATCATGGTTAATGCCAGTTGATTATGATAATATTGAAGCGGAAACTTCACATTTATTTCGTGAAGCGGATAAAAATCAAGTAATTATTTCTTTTTTTTTTTTCTTTTATTAATTTCGATTTCATTTGTTTTTCTAAAAGGATAATCAATTAACAAAAACTGAAATTCTTGATAAACATGATGTTTTTGTTGGTAGTCAAGCAACTGATTGGGGTGCTGAATTAAAAGTTCATCAAGATCTTTAATAGATACATCTGCAATGAAAATAATCAAATTTATGCATTTTTTTTTAATTTAATTTAATCAAATGATTTTTTTTTTCTCATGTTAAAAAATTTAGAAAAATTGTTTGCTGTGAAATGATTGTTTGTTTTTTGAATACATGTTATAATAAAAAATAAAATAATTATAAAAGAATCAAAAATTTTCCAATAGAATTCAAAGATGATATATCTGTTATTATTATTATTGTAAATTGATAGAGATGATTTTTCAGTTTTATTTCCTATGTTTTTTTGTTTGATTAAGAAAAAAACAACCGCTTAAGATAAGTTTAATTATTTTCTTTGAAGTAACGAATTATGATCGATTTGAAAAAGAAAAAAACAAATCAAATCAAAGATAAAAAACATTTTCTATTTATTATATTAATGAAAAAAACAAAATATGTATTTTTGGTTATTTTATATCTTGATGAAATCTTATCTATTTCTCGTGCTATTTGATCGATTATAGTCTTGATTTATAAAATATAAAACGAATAAATAGTGTTTACACATGATTACTCAATTCGTCAGTATCTATTTTAAGTATACTCAACATGTATGCCAATGATTCAAAAAAATTCTCGAGATTTTTTCGCTTGGTAGGTGTTGATGAATAAATCTTTTTTTCTCATATATATTATAATCTGATAACATGCGCACGCCTGTTCCGACAAACTGTATCAATTTGGCATTATTTTGACTTTTCTAGTGAATACATATCTATATATATATATCATCTATCTCTTATAAATTGGTTACATTTTTTTTTGACGCTTTTTATTATTCAATTGTTACGCTTCGTATGTTTATGTCCGACAACGATAAACATTTTATTTTAGTTCATTCAACAAGCAGAGGAAGCACCACCCATATCTTACAACATACACTCATTTATCATCATAGAACTTTTGCACACACTTGCTCGTTTACTTTTCACCGCCTCCAGTAAACTGACGACATCAGAAGGTAATAAACGTTGATTAGAGACAAAGTAAAGCATACAATCTTTTTTTAGATAGAATCGAATTAAGAAGAAAAAGAGATGGACGAACTGATAACATCTATCGACAATTCAAGGCTTGTATGATAAATTACGTAAAGAGTTTCTTTTGGGTGTGTATGTTTGTATAACAACAATATTACTCATGTTTACTCGGTTTTTCATTCATAAAATAATCTATTACATTTGTTGCATCTCAAGAGAAAGGTACAATAACAAGTGTTCGATTAATACAAAACAAAAGAAAGAAATCAATTGTAGAGATAACTTAATGATAGAGTTTTTTTGTTGTTTGTAACAAAGTGAAAGAGAAAAAGAAAAGAAAGAAAATAAGGAAACGAACGAACGAACGAACGAACGATAGACGATTTCTATAAACGTTTTGTCCGCTATTTTGGCTTTCTTTATATCTATGAATAAATTGATGACTATTGGCAAGAAGAATAGTATTTGATGAGAACGAAGAACAAAAGCGTTCGTCAGAAAAAAAACTAGCTAGAAAAAAAGAGGGTAACAACGTTTAGAACGATTGTCTCTTGATAAATGATTATCATTATAAGCACATAAGTTGAAAATAAAGAAACAAAATATCCGACTTTGCTATTTCCAATGCAAGAAAACAATTGAACGATTTCAATGATAGAACTCGAATATTTCAATAGGATGGAAATGAAATAGAAAAATATGTCTATTATTACTATAAACTAAATATATTGGTTTATTGACTATGTGTATCTTCCTCTTTGGAACGCGAACGATAGACGAATGAAGATAAATATCATCAATATCTATCTCTGTGTCTCTAACAAAATAAGAGAAATATTTTTCTCTTTCTTTCTATTTCTATCTCATATATTTTAGATAAGTGACGAGTATATACACTAACCATCAGGTAATTTAGACAAATTTATTTGATGTAAAACAAATAAATAATATATATTATTGAATTTGTTTTATTGTAGACAAATATTTTATTTTAAAACAAAAAATATTCTTTATTATTATATGTATGTTAGAACAACTTTCGCTTATATATTTTAACGACTCATTGACATTGTATAATTTGACCAATTATGATTTTCAAGATTCATCATCAACAATTTTTATTTCATCAACACATCCTTATCCATTACAAGTCAATATAGCACTTGCTGTTATTGGTACATTTACATCATTACTAACTATAAGTGGTAATGTACTTGTACTTGTTTCATTTTTCGTTGATCGACAAATTCGTCAACCGACAAATTATTTTATATTTTCATTAGCTATAAGTGATTTTTTAATTGGTTGCATTTCAATGCCTTTTTTAACATTAGCTATATATAAAAATCAATGGGTGCTTGGTTCGTTTTTATGCGATATATGGTTATCATTGGATTATACTATATGCTTAGCATCTATTTATACGGTACTTTTAATTACTGTTGATCGTTTTTGTTCAGTTAAAATTCCTGCTAAATATCGAAATTGGAGAACAAAACGACGAATTATTTTTTTGGTGCTTTTAACATGGTTTGTACCTGCATTAATATTTTTTATTTCAACTATGGGATATCCATTATACAGTAAAAAGCCAAATTTAAGTATTACTGATCTACAATGCGAGTAAGTGTATTTATTGCCGGAAGTCTTTATAGTATTAAAGACAAAGGCCATGACATTTATTTTTTATTTTTTAGTGTACAATGGAATAAGAATGCTTATTTTAATCTAGGTTAGTTCTATTAAATATGAAATAATTAGATTAAATTTTTTTTGTTTTTTTTTCTTCTTCTAAGGTTTGACTATTGGTTATTTTTGGGTAACATTATTAGTTATGTTTACACTTTATTTTTTTATTTATCAAGTTGCAAGTGCACTTGAAAAACGTTCACAAGCAAATGCAAAAAAAGTATCAAATATAATAGGCGTTTCATCATCTAATGTGACAAATTTTGTATTAAATATGTCTAAAAATCATCACCTAACACACGCAACAGCTACTTCATCATCATCTCTACGATCAAAAAAAATGAAACCAACACAACAATCAACTCTATCATCAATATCAAAATATGAGATTAGTATTGATGATGATGTTGGAAGTTCATTTATTAATAATAATGATACTGATAATGATAATAATAATAATAATAACAATAACAATAATAACAAAAGGTTATCAAATGGACTTGATGTTATTAAACCTGTATTATCAAATGAAACTAATGGTGAACGTACATCAGTGACTACACTTGCTTCAAATTTAACTAATTTGCTTAATATAACTCGAGTTGGTGTTGAATCAGTTAAAAAATTAGAAGAAAATCGAATACTTTTACCTATTACACAAAATAAAACTTCACTATCGCCTACAACAAGACAAAAACTGTTCGGTCGACACGGTGGTACTAGTAGTAAAGCACGAAAAGCATTACGTACTATAACTGTTATTATGGGTGCATTTGTTATATGTTGGACACCGGTTCGTAACCTTTTCAAAATTGAAATGAGACCTTTATCGAACTTTATTAGATTTTGAAATTGTACAATTAAATAGAATATATGATCTATATCATTAGAGCTTTTATAGTAGTCTTAGCTCCATCAATACGATTTTACGGGAAATCTTTTTTATTTCATATTGTTTAAAAAGGTATTGAGTATAGACATTTTCTCGATTTTCAAGTGTATTGAGATTTCAAATTCCCTTGTTTCTTCTTGATATCTTGACATAATCGTACTATTTAACGATGCTGCGTGATATTAGCCACATAAGGGTAAAAGAAAAAACTGTTATAATCTAGTAAAGATAATTAATTGTACTAGTTAGAATCTGCGCAAAAGCTCAACATCTATGCATACATACGTTTCTCATTGTCAAAAGGTTAATAACGAATCAAGCAAGATTATATAGTATGTTTTCGATCTAACATCCTTCACTCATTTGTTGTCTATAGATTGAGTACGAATGAAAAGTCACATCAAATGCTTTCCTTTAGGTCTATAGCCTTGAATAATTTTTAGATGTATTCTGACATTTTCAATATATATATTGAATAATAGTCTTACGAATTGTTCCTATCAGGAGAATCTATAATTTCTTCTAAGGAATGTCTTAAAATTTGAAAATTGATTTTCTTGTATTGTTTTTTTATTTTTATTTTTTAGTGGCATATTCATACAATAATTCAAACATTTTGCAAAACATGTCGTGAAAGCATTGTGTTTAATACATATCTCTTTCATGCTTGTTATTTTCTTTGCTACTTAAATAGCCCAATTAATCCATTTTGTTATGCACTTGCCAATCGACAATTTAAAAAAACTTATACACGTTTACTTCGTTGCGATTTTCGAAAATTGTAGAAATGTGTGCAGATGGATGAATGTGTGAATTGATTGTTTGATTCTTTCTTTGATTTGAATGAAAACTAGATATCTTTTTTTTTTCTTTCTTTTCTCTATTGACTGTTTTTTTTATAAATGATAATCTCACATTCATCAAATAATACGAAATTCTTTTTGACATAGAAAAAAAAAAAGACAAGAAAATTATTACTTTGTTTGTTTTATCTATAAAAGATTTCAATTACAAAAAAGAAAAAAACAAGTAGAAAGATGTTTAATTCATTGGTATTTCTTTCAGCAAAACATTAACATATAAATTCATTTGATAGAACAATAATAAAATAAAATGAAATATACCAACTTTATCGTATACTAGAATTATGATTATTCCATCAATATGTTACATATATATTATCAACAATGTAATAGAACAGTTGATCATAAGTATATAGTAGTAGTAATAATAAATTCAAACAAGAATCAACTCATAGCTATTAATAAGAATTAAACATTCATTTAATTGTATCCTATAAATATTTTTAAGTCTTAATGGATAGAATTAACTTTATTTGAGAGTCTGATATATTTAAACAAATGTTTCGTTCTGATGCATGCGATATTGATTTTCTTTTTTTCTTTTTGTAATAGTTTAAGACAACTTTTTTAGTATTAGAATGAATCACTTTCATTAGAAAGATTTTCATAGGAAATGCTTTTTTTTTCGTACCGAACACAACTCATTTCTTCAAAATAAAGTACTTAACGAGAAAAAAAGTAATATGAGATAGAAGCATGATTGATTGTACATTAACATTACCTTCAAATTCATTATAATTATGTAGGAAACAAGTATAATCCTTTTCAAGTTTATTAATAGTCTACAATTTACAGCTAAAAAATAACCAAGAAATATTAATCTAATTATATAGATATAGTTTGAGTTTCTGCTTTCTTCAGTCCTTCGCCGCCTCCCCCTATCAAAAAAAAAAAGTCAATTTTTGTCAGAATTATCGAAATCAAGATAAATGCATGAAAAGATAACCTCAAGGCTTGACCTTTCATCAATGACATGAGTTTTTATACGGCATCTTCTTTTTTTGCGACATTTTTTTAAAATGTCATTACCTGCCAGAAAAATGCTTTATTATAGCCGATTGATTTTTAGTCGCTTCTTTTGACTTAAGCTTTGTCACTATTATGTAAATATAGAGCAATCTGAAAATTAAATACGATTTAGATTTATTTTTGATATAGTTTGACGGAATAACGTTGTATGAAGATTTTTGCTTGTGAAACTTTCGAATGGTCTTGGTAACAGTAGTAGATATTCTCATCTTTATATATATCACATAAAACATTTCCATCCTCAAAAGAAAAACATTTTATTTAAAAACCTTCAACTTTTGCGGTTTTTTTCAAATTTATCGATTGATAGTTTATGGAGTTCACTACGAGACATGTACTCAAAGTTTTTATAATTCCGTGCTTTCTTTATTTTTTGTAATTGTTCGACAAATGGTCACTCGAGCGATCAAGGAAGAAGTAACTGATTAAGTAAGAATTTTGTAAAATTTTGTTTACATATATAATTTTTTTCGAAACGAAGTGAAATCTTTTGAAAAGGAATCATTAAGTTAGAAACTCTGACTATTAGTTTCTGATGTAGAAGTCCATATGATCATTTATTCAATTCTCAAAAAACATTAATTTAAGATATCTTCGTAAAAACTTTTTCAGACAATATAATTCAACAAAAAAAAAATCAACTTTTTTTAAGAATGTGAAGACATATTCAAGGATTTTCGTATTATTGGTAATATCTAGGTAAATGATATTTGGGCGTTTCCGTACGAAAGACTCAAAAAATAATTTAAAAAAAAGTGGAAACAGAAATATAATGTCCGGATTTAGCGGCCAGATTTTTCCTTTGCCGACAAGCATCGGCTATAGAGCGCTGCCATCGAATATGGGCATCATAACACTACTTCACATTTCATACTATTGTCCCGAGTTTTTCGATTGAAAAAGACAAGCTTCTTGCGGATTCCGGCCGAAAAATCACGAATTCAGACAGCGGAATCATAATGTATAGGTATTCGCTATAGTTCAAGTCGAAGAAGATACTACACTCTTTTTGGATTCCTATAGTGATATTGAATAAAAATTGAACTATAAATGGATTTAATGAAACAACGTTTGTATCTGAAAGAAAAATTCGAGTTTGTCAAAATAGGACAAGTTTGGTTGGACGGACTCCTCGCGTTGTAAACTATCAAGCATAAAGTCGGACAAAATAGCATTATGATTTATTGTTTATGTTTTTAATAGTGGTGATACTTTCATTTCAGTAAATAAAACTCAAGTCTCATCATAAATATTTATAAGAAAAATGAGGTTTTTATTTATCTTGAACGTGCTAAAATAGTCACAGAAATAATGACAGATTGAATGACATTAGAAACAATAGCACAAGAGTCACAATGTACATTAAGTATAATTAGTAAAACAATATTTAATTACAATCAAGTAAAAGAGAAAAGTTGTGATAGGCAACATGGCCATTTCACGCAAAAGAAAACACGAGTATGAAACACATATATCTGTTTTTCGAAACATGTTTTAACTATAGTATTGCGGTTTTGGCTATAAAATCTGTACGAAGGAAAAAACTAATTCTATTATTTTGAACTCTAGTCTTACTCTATTTTCTAAGAAAGATTCATGAGATTTTTTCATGTCCAATTTTCCAAAAATCAATGATGTTGATCTGAGCTGACTATTCTATAGTATGTTATTAATATCATGATAATATGCATATAAATGACGATCAATCGAACTATCTTATCTATGGCTAATAGATCTTTTGGAGAACCTATCAGACTATTTCTTGAAGCCGTATTCGAAATGAATGTTTACGAAAATGACCAATTTTATTATAATGTACATAGAAGATCTTCGAATGTTCAATAGCTAAAATCTTGAGAATGAAACTGCACGAAAATGAATGTAGCATTCGATTAAATATTAATCATATATGGTACTTACTTCATTTCAAACTTTTATGCTCAATAGCTATATGTTTTTATATTGATCTTTTTCTCGAAATCGATATGTTACATAGCTCCACTATTATGCATTCAGGCGTCAAATATGACACTCGTATTAGAATATCAAACAGTCATGTGTTGACTGTTTCGTATTACGAGATAAGAAAAACTAACACATAAGATAAGAGAGTTAGGAAAAATAGTCGACATTCATTTAGAATCAGTTTTGTCCTTCTGATATTATCAAATATATACAAGACATAAGAGAATAAAAACAGAAGACATTAGTATATTAATATTATGTGTGAACAATAAGAATATAGACATATAATGTTTATGTATTTGATATATATCGGAAGTAATCACATGAATAAAATAAATGATAAGAATTAACTTGAAACAAATCATTCATAATCATCAATATAAAATTTGCTATATTGAACTGTTTCACCTTGAAAAGAAAATTTTTTCTTGATCATGAGTAAATGATTAATCAAGGATTGTTTCATTTTATAATTAAATGTAACTATACGGTCGAAATTTTCGTTATTGAAAATAAACTCATTCAATATAAAGAATTAGTTTATATTTTATAAGTTATTTTCGAATACATATTGCTTTTATAGAATGATTGAGACATTGAAAATACTACATCCAATCAAATATGATCAGACATAAATTTCACGCAATCAAACTAATATATCCAAGTAATATATACACTATACAAATGATACAAAAAAGTGACGAGTGTCAACAAGCAAATATTTATCACATGTATGAATTAACAGGATTTCTAGTTGAAATATGTGAATATAGATTTGATGCTTAGAAAGTTGAATGATTACTCAAAAAGTACTGCCATTAGTAAGAGTATGAAATGGGCTTAGAAGTCGCAAATAATATATTGTAATTGGTTCTGTGTTGATTGGTAAATCAAGATTTTTGACAGAAAGAAAACTTTTCAGTCGTAACAGATATAGGTACGAATATAGAGAAATTCTATCTTGTGGAACACGTAGATAGAATCATATCTATCAATTATTCAATGATATATATAAATATGAACATAGAGCATGGAAAGACTTTTCCAATATGTTCTTACATTGCAAAGATAAGTAGATGTTCTGTTTCTTGGATAAAAGAGAACTATTCAACAATACAATGAATAATTTTCTTTCTCAAAAGAGGCATTATTGTTAATGTTGTACTAACAAAGAAACGATAAAAAGAGAATTAATCGGATTCATCGAAAGAGTTATTTTAATGCATTTTGGTATTACTCTTACATGTGCAAGAGAAACAGTAATTTAATTATTCAAAGCAAAGAAATCAGTCGATCGATAAAAGAAAAAAAAGTATATTACTTGTAATGAATGATATATGTTCATACAGGATTAAACGATAATAAATTAGTGATCGAAACCAAATTAAGATTAATTCGCTTGCTTTTATATTTACATACAATATCCTAGTAAGCTTTTTATCAAATATATATTATCTTCTATTTATTGTGGTCTCAATTTTTGAATCAAGAAAAGAAAAAGGTTTTCAACAAAAAAAGCTGAATTCTCGATAATAAAATAAAAAGTAAAGCAAATTTGTCGAGTATTTGATGAGATACAAAATATGATGTGGATGCTTAGCAAATGCGGTTATAAGGTTGTGAGACTGACGATGTGAGACTGTGTATGAAGAAAAGGCTCATATTCACATCCTTCTCATTGAATTAATTACTAGATAGGACAAATCCAAACCGCATCGTCTCACATCTTGATGACTTTCTTATGGACCATGCTTATGATCCTTTGGTCTAGTTATTGCTATACAAAGTCACCGTTCGTTCTGTATTTATGAATGCCTCAAGACTTTTAAACCTTGTTTCTCATCCACTAATTCAAAATTTTACTCTTTGAAGAGTCGCTTTGCTAATTTTTCTTTCATGATTATTATTGACACTAGAAAGGAGCATCAACAAATACTCATTTGATGGGAAAAAATAGGCGTATCTCTCGTTTATTTAAAGGATTTTATAACAGAGCAAAGTTAGTGGTAGTTAAAAATCGGTTTTAGTTCTAGCTGTCATTTTATGCGAAAACTACTAACACATTTAGTTTGCCATGTAGGTATTAGCATCGACATCTTCTATTGTATTTGTGATTGTTTGCCAACAAAATAATGCATTGTGGTGATTGTGCAGCGGTAGCTCGTCGTCGAATTCCACTGAAACATATGTTGCATAAAATCTTGTATCGACAAGGTAGGCATCGAGAATATCTCGCTCGATCCAAACACATTAGACATGGTTTAGAATTTGCAATCTGATCTGCGATTATTTCAAGTTCTTTGACCATTTCAGATACTGTTGGACGCGACTCGACTTCAGTTAAGAGACAACGCCGCATCAAATCGAAGTAACTTTTTGGAATATTAATGAGTGCATCAATATGAGCTTGAGTAATAGGTTGCGTTATTGGATAGTAAGTTGGTTTAGGTGTCACGACGTACATCGGTACATCCAACGCATAAACATCGGCACCCGAGCCTTTGTACGTGAAATCATGGATATTGTCCACACTTAGTTCTGGTGCAAACGGGCGTGACTCAATCACAGTCGAGTTTTCTACACCATTTTGACACGTACCAAAGTCTTTTATGTCACGATGAACGAGTTTGTAGGTGTGCATGTGAGCTACAACACGAGTGATATCAAATACAATCTGAATAGCTTTATCCATTGTTACATCGGTCATATGATCGCACAGATAGGCATGTAGATTCGATGAGTATCGAGGAAGTAGAATTAACAGTTTACTGTTATCTTCTTCGTAGAGATATTGAAGCGGTACCGTGCGTTCAATATTTAATTTGGCAACAGTACGATGAAAATGTGCTTCTAGATAAGCTACATCAGGATGTGCCATAGGATCAAGTATAATTTTGGCGACAAGTGATTGTTCAGCATCCCATGATGCAGAATGTATCGAGAAGAAGCCACCTCGACTCAGTTCTTCTTGAATATTGATATTAGGTTTCATACCATGATGTTTAGCAAAATCTAGATTAGCCACTAATCTACATTCGATACGTGCAAATTGATCAGCATACCTGCGCACGAGCGCGTAAGCTTTCTTTCGATGGTTTATTGATTTCATGACAATCTTAGAATGATCTATCACTTTTTGTTTGAATTGTTTTTTATGCTTCGAGAGCAACTTTCGACCATATGCTTTAATTTCGTTACCACAAGACGCTAGATTGTGCTCTACATTCATCAGCTTATGTTCGATCTCATTTATAATTTTACGCTCACCCATCGGCGTTCTACTTCGACGTTTCCTCACGATATCGAAAGGTGTTTTAATGATAAATATAGGAATTACCAAACCGATGATTAATACCAAGCTCAATGGGAGAAGAACTATTCCCAAAGCAGCCTCAACAATATGCCAAATCCCGAAATTACTGTCACCAATATTTTCGACATTACTGAGGAGATCTCTATAGGCCGTCACAAGCAGTTCATTCTTCAAGAATTTATTTGGTAAGAGAGTTTGTTGACTGATGTCCTGTTTTATTCGATTACTCGCTTCGCTTACGATTTTCTTGAGAATCGGTTTCAGTATTTCATTTTTAACAGTATGAGGGATGAAGTTTCCCAAAAATGTTTTTTCCTTGTTGTCATTAAAAGTATGAAAATCTTTTTCACTCAAGGGATCGTCCTTAAATGATCATTGACTAAATTGTACGTACTCTTTCGCTCGTGTAATAAAACTATCACGATGCTTGCGAAATTCTATGGGCAATTGTCGTTCAGCTTCTTTGGCGATGGTATCCAAATACAAAGAGTATTGTTGAAAAAAGTTGTGTGCCCACAAAAGTGCTGCTTCTTGCAACTTTTCTCATTCTTCTTTTGATCGTCAATTGGTGATGAGAACAAAATCAAAAAATGTAGCGATCGTATTTATTATGATACAACTAACTTGCTTAGTATTTTTTGAATCATGTTTCGCAGCAAAAGTGACAATACGATCGATGGCATTCTTCTTCATTGTTTGTTCCATTGGATGTTCGGGACGATCGACACTAAAAATAACAAAACAATCACAGGTGCTCCATTGATCAGGCAAATCGCTGCTTATTTCAGATATATTGCATAAAAGGCTATATCGACGAAGTCGTTCCTGTTCGCGTAGTTCATTTATTTCATTTTGTTCAGGTAATTAATTCATCTATCCCGGCATCATGGAGAATGGTACTGACATCAGCCTTTGTGTTGAGAAAGAAAACACCAACATCGGCTATGTCTTGAACAGATAACTTTAGTGCATCAAAACATTTGCGTGAGTCGTCGGATACAGTTGCATTGTCATAGAGGAAAAGAAGAGAAGGACGCCGAGCTTTGATCAAATCTTGTAAATTCTTGATGAATATAGGGGAGTCTCCAAAATGAAAATCTGGTATGTCGTAGACGATAATCCTGCGTTGAAGAACGGTCGATTGAATACAGACTTCCATCATTTGTGATGCCCATTCGACGAACTCATTTGAGAATGGATCATATGCTTCAGGGCGAGCCAAATGTTCAGCAATAAGAGCTTTGAGTTCTTTCGAGCGTTGTTGTTTTTCCTTCACTGTCATCTGATTCATGGATAAGAAGTATTTGGAGAGATAGACTGGATCACCCTTGATAGACGAGTCAACACCTGCTTCATGAATCAATAGACGTGCCTCTTCGACTGGAGCGTAAGAGAATTTGACGCTGCGTGCAGTAACAGCATCTGTGCTAGTCGACAAAAAAACGCTCCTTCCAAGAAATTGATGGAGAAATTATGTTTTCCCGGATGAGTTGTAACCACAAATAACCAGTTGTACTTGTTCAAATGTTTTAAATTCGTTGAGAATTGTCATTTTGTCTTGAGGTAGAAATATATCGGCAACATCTTTGATAGTATCCAGACGAGTATAAGTCAACGCAATTTTTTCTGAGAATTCTTTATGAAGAGCCAAAAATTGTGCAACTGTCGCCTCGGTCGATAGCTTGATGGCATTGTTAGACTTGATTATATTCGTAATAAGCTTACGGTTGGTCATCTTGTTGTTGCGTGGCGAAATAGAAATTGATAACAAGTGTTTGTTATGAGATGAATCAAGCAAATAAAAGCAAACAGATAACTGGGTAATATCTTACTAAGATAAGACATATCAGTAAAAACGATGATGGAGAAAAAAGGAAGAAGTGTGGTGAGAGATGGATATGAGCAAAATGATTAGAACTTGACGGCGATTCATAACATTCGAGTTGGATGGGTATGAGTGAGGGTTTGAGAATGTAGGTGGATGTGGATTTGAGTGAGGTTACGAGTATGGTCTTACGTTCACTGACAATGACACCGACACCCACAGCTGTATCCGCGAAAACCTACACCCTCAAGCTAATCTAGATTTAAACGATTTAGTAGCTTATGTCCATCATCAATATAGAATTAGAATAATATAATGCTTCACATTTATTTTTATCTGAACTCCTATACAATTGAACTAAGAACATTTCTTTCAAATTATACAACAATATGTTTTAGAGTTATTCAAATCATTTTGATCTTCACCTATACTAAAACCAGAGCATAAACCGTGAATCATCAAACTAACAATAATTTCATCAGAACTTATTCTTGACATTATTTCCTGAGAAATGTAATTATTATTTAAGTCTTCTTCCATACTATCGTTTACGATTAAATTTTCCCTCGCATCATATGATTTGATGGTACCATTATTCAGTTCTATCATCGACCAATCGATACAGGGAAGATGTTCTGAATTTTCTGATGAAAACCATTCATTCTGTAAAATATTAGGATGATTTGGAAAATTTTCATATAAAATCGATAAAAATGCGCTATGATTTGTAATAGATTTCCATAAAGGTTCGATAATTCTAATTTGTTCATTTAATAAAATATCGCTGATACATGGACTTTCGTCATTCATTGATTCCCATTCATTGTCTTCTTCATTTTTACAATACTGATTTCTTAAGTTTAGAAAGATTGTTTCCCAATTCCATAGTTTCCAAACAGTTTTAACAATTTCACCATCTTTGTCAATAATCATTGAATCTTTCCAAGAGAGACCATTCGATAATAGACATAATTTTGAAATAATACCTGCTTCTGTCATTACCTTTTGCATAAACAAAATAGTCTCTAAATCGACTTCGTCATTATCAATTAATATATGAATCAGAGTTTTTATATTTAATCTTTTCCATTGTCTTACTAAAAGATGATATAATTGAAAACTAGACGTAAAATTATAATTGACATTCATCTCTAGAGCCCGTTTTTCTTGTATAACAGCATATTGAAGAGTTTTTAACGCATGATTAGCTTGATATTGACATAGTTTCAAATTTTGTCCATCAAAATTAAAACTCATATGATCTAATATATCAAGATCTTCTTCATTTTCCCATGATCGACGAATTCTGGACCAAAATTGGATCGGTATTTCAAAAAGTGTTAAAAATTCATCATTATGAATAATACGATCTGTAACTTGCATAAATAGTCGATACAATTCATTTGATGTATTACTAATATTTACAAAAAAATTTTCATTTGCTTTATAATAATAACTATCATTTTCATCGGATTGCATAAGAAACTTTTCTGTTCGATTATCAACATTGAATGGTAAATAATCATTGTTAAAAGTTTTATTCATAATAAAACAACGTTGTAATTCACTAATGGGTTGTGGTTGTTGATATTTTGGAAGGATGAAATTTATATTTGATTCATCTAATGGTTTTAATTGATTATTATTTTCAATTTCCATCCATCCATAAACATTATCTTGATCTTCAATATAATAACAATCATTTCGATATATCATGGGAATTTGACGAGCATAGTCACTTGACCAATAATGAAATCGATAATTTTGTTCAGCTATACGAATAGAATTTTCTTGAACTTCACATATGATGGCAACATGTCCGTATGGTGCGTCTTCACTACAAGGATAGATAAGTAAAGCACCACATTGAGGTTTATGTGGTGATCCATTCGAATGAATTTTTAGATGAAATTTTTCACCATCAGTAACACGTTCGACATATTTCAATTCTTGCCACATATCAGCAGCAAACCTAATATTTTGAAAGATACAACTTTTACGAAGTAATAACCATCGACGAGCAAATTCAACACAGTGCCATTTGCAACCAGTATATATTCCATGAACATAAAATCCTTCAAAGGAAACAAAATCATTATATTCATTAGAATATGCTGGTACATTTGTCGAAGCTATTCCTTGAATTTTATTGAATGGTACGATTTCCTGTTCTTCTTTGGACATCATTGAATCTAATCAAAAAAAAGTTTCATTAGTATAAACCTAAGTAACTTTCAAAAATATTTTTAAAAAATATAATAAAAACTTCAGTGAAGTTAATTATTTATATAAAAAAAAAAGAATCCATTTTTAAGTTTGAGTATTTACGACATCAAATGAGTCAAAATCAGGGTATGTTTGTTTTTATGAACTGCATCTTCGTCAAATGACATCATAAGAGTTTTCTTGTCATCGGTATTGTTATAACCATGTACTTAAATTTTTCGGTTTCTCTCTTGTTATTTGTTTTACATCATTCATGACTCTTGTCTGTCACATGAGTGTCATGAAGAATTTCTGTTTCTATTGAAATTCTTTCTTTAAACGTATTTTTACGGCTTCTCACTGCGTCTGCATCACCTATGGAACTTTTCACTGTGTAGTTTTTTTTCTTCCTTTAGCGCTCTATATATATATTTGTTGCATTGTTGTAAAAAGGATTCATTTATATATATATATATATATATAGTTATGAAAAGTAGAATCTTGATAACAAAGAATCTGGATATGGCTGACTATGGGTCTGGAGCAAGAGCCATGCTATTTGATTTGTGTTTGTATTTGTAGCTTAGGTTCGGATTTGGATTTGAATTTGAATTTTGGACAAAATTCACATAAAATATTTGCAATTTATGGACTCTTATTGAAACGCAAACTATTTATATTATTTTAGTCTAAGACTGAATCCAAATCATCAAGTTTTTTTTTTGATTGTGCTAAGTCTCCAGTACAGTAGATTATTGTTGATGCA